CATTCACACTCAGCAGATAGAGTCTATAACTGAGAGAGGGCTGTTTGTAAAATAGTGGTAATATTGCAAAATAACACTGGGCTGCAGATTCATGGTAGACTATTTATTAAAACCACATATTAGAACAATGACACAATGGTTAAAAGAATACACACAAGCTTTTTTTAACAGGGTTAATGTTTCCACTTTCAATGATTTACCATAATTTCTTCTTACTTTACTATTTTAATCATGTTAATACTGTCAGTAATGTATTTGTGACCATGAGCTTTCATTTCTATCTTCAGTTTTCTCTATGTTTGTTAGAAATTGTCTGTCTGAATGGGAAATGCTTTTTGCAGCTATGAAACCAGACAGTGACTTTCTCAGCAGAAACAGCGTTGCTTGCAAGAATGTTAGTTTAACAAGCAGGGGAATCCAGATGTTTTTCCCTGGCGCCCCAAATGCAGCGGTGAAATCAAATTGTGCACATACACGATCAATCAATCAGACATTATTTGTATGGCGCTAATTCATAATAAATGTGATCTCAAGACACTTCACAGAAAGAGCAGATTAAGACCTTACTCTTTGTTATTATTGTTACAAAGACCCAACATTAATCCATGAGCACTAAGCAACATTTAGCAAAGTTACAGTGGAGAGGAAAAACTTATTTTAAGAGGAAGAAACCTCGAGCAGATCCAGACTCATGATGAACAGCCGTCTGATGAAACTGTGTCCGGGTTGGAAAGTGGATAGAGGGAGATTCAGGAAGAGAGAGACAAACAGAACAACAACAACAATGAATAAAATAGATTTAAAGCTACAGTGTCAGTAATAATGGTAAAAGTATGTGTAGTATTAGCAGTAACAGCTCAGTGTGATAATAGACTGATCAGTCAAATATTAACACTCATCATAGAGGATCATTTATTAACCCCTTACTGTCCCCATTATCATATCTACTTCTGACATTAAAGAGTCTAAAATATTTTATGGTATGATTTTCTACTTTATGAACTAAATATATACAATTAAAAATCAAAACTGTTTTTTTATTTTGCTCTGTGAAACTTGTAATTTATTGAATCCTCTTGATCAACCTGAATTCTAGTCTCATGTCTCTCTTTGTTCACAAATAAAACTACAGACTCTGTTACAACATTTTATTAAAATGAAGAAGCAAAAATCACATTAAAGCACATTTGGATGATGCAGTTTGCTTTACAAGTATTCAGAGAAAATTGAAGGACTTTTCTAACATAGAAGCCAACCTGAAACATCTGACACTGAAAACAAATCCTCTCAGCTGTGATTCAATCTTTCTTGAAAAGACGACTTTGATTACATGAAAGTACATTTGATTGTAAAAACATTGTTACAGACTTTAAAACTTTGATACTTAAGATCACAAGGAGATTAAAACCCATTTTGTATTATATATATATTTTTAATTCATGTGTCAAATAAAAACCATTTAATGTCGATCTGCAGAGACCCTTTGTACCTTTAAGAAAAAGCTCTTCATGAACACCTTGATGATGATGATGATGATGATGATGATGTTTAGGATGGTTTTGATTCTGATTCAAACTCTCATGAGCAGCTGTTGATGTTGTTGATGACGACATATTTACTTTACTTTTTTTAAAAGGTGCACTGCCTCTGGTCACTTCCTGTCATCACCTGTGTGTCCGATTTGACTTAAAGCTGTTTGTTTGCACTTGCCTGTCAGATAGGAAGCTGTGTGTGCTGCACTCCCATGGAGTAGGGCGCAGAGCAGAAGGGGAGCGCACACGAGCAAAAAGCAACGGTGCACATTGCTAGGTTACAGAAACATTAGTCGGGAAAATAGTTACTTTTTGGTGCACAGTATGTTTGTATCTGTTCACTATTCAGTAGAAAACTCTGATCTTTAACTGAGGAGGAGGAGGAGGAGCTGTTACGGTTTGTATTTAGACCCAAAAGCGGACACGGCAGCAAAATTGAAGGGTTTGAGGTTTTATTGCAGGGCTAGGTATCAGTGAATGGCTGACTGGCTGGCTGGTAGTGACGGCGTGGAGGAGTCTTATGGAGTTAGCTGGTTCCGTAGGCAGACAGGTAATTGGTTGAGTTGTCTGAGAGGAGAGCAGACTGGAGGAGATGACACCGGTGGAAATCTGGACAACAAGAGAGAAAATCTGTTAGGACTCACTGGAAAAACACTTGGAATAAACTCTAACAAATGTTAAGAGCAGCCGATCATAGCTACCACTTCAGTAGACTCAATAATCTGGCAATGAGTCGAGTTGAACCCTGGGTCTTAGTCTGAGGCAGATAAGCAGATGAGTTGCAGGTGTGAGTCGTCACCAGGTGTTTGATTGAAGCCACGCCCTCCAGAGACACACACACACACACACACAGACAGACAGAGACACACACACACACACACACAGACAGACAGAGGGGGAGGGGACACAAGGGATACACAGAGAAACAGGATCACAGCCAGAGCCGTGACAGGAGCTAGCAGCACAGGAGGAGAGGGTGTGTGTTCATGAGATCCTCAGGGCACAACAGGATTTGGGAGAGTTTAGTCTCGTCCAGGAAATGCAGCTCTATGACGACCGCTTCACAAGCACGTTAACATTTCAGCCAATGCTGCTGTTTTAAACACAGCTGGTACGCCAAAACTGTCGGACAGGTCTTTACATAAGAGAGCTCTCTCTGGGACCCCGTTTGTTGTGATCTGATCTTCCCTCCTATTGAGAGGGGTCTGTCTGCAGGCTGCAAGAGAGGGGCGGAACGTGTACCTATCCAAATCTCAGCAGAGGACCACGTGAGATGTCTAAAACGATGATTTTGGCCGCCAAAGAAACACAGAAGTTGTGGGCAAAATTTCGGCTTGAGTACAGACACAAGAGTATTTTCCTTAGACAACTTATATTTAGTTAAATATACGTTAGTAATACCAGGGTTATTTCACTACCAGAGTTGATAAGCTTTCTTTTAAAGCAAACGATGTGGATTTTATTTAAACAATGTTTATTTTATTTATCTACCAACTGTTAAAAAAGGGTCATTTAAGAGCACGGAGATGATAGTTTAAATAAGTATCATATGTGACATGCAACTTATATCGTTAATATTCATAGAGAATTATGTCTCCTTACTGAAATTATTTGGGTTTATTACATACTTTCACAACTTTTATATTTTTGATGACATTTTGTGGATGAAAATAAAAATCGTCCTTTTTTTAATTTCCTCTCCGCTCCATCCAACCATCTGCATAGACGGGCTGCAGGGCTTCTTCTCTATACCTTGGAGGATACTACAGCTTTGGTTGGAGGCACTTATGTGAGTCATGTGTTCCAAAAATGTTCTTAGTTTATTTGTTTGAAATGATAAAAATAGAAGGTGAACCAAAGTAAAGCGAGCCACACGGCCTCAGCAGGGTCAAACACCATTTAGAAGATTGTAGTGGGCAGAAGATACCGATGACACAGATCTCAAACTTTCAGAACTAAGAGAGCCATTTCAAGCTTCGTGCCCACATCCATCAGGCTCATGAATGGCTGATCCATTTGTTCATTTATTTTTAACACCACTCTTTTAACCTTTCATAACAATTGTCATGCTTTTAATACAGCCACTTGTATGTGTGTGTGTTCTTTTGTTTGTTTGTTTTGTTGTGCTGAGCTGTATGCACACTGATGATTTTTTTACACAACTGAAGTTCCTAACAGATAAATAAAGATATTTGAAATTGGGTCTTGCAGACTGCAGACAGATACTATTGGTCCAACTGGCAAACGAGACCTTGTGCTGAGCTCAGCTCGGCCGAGTGCAGATACGCTCTTGTGCAGAGCTACACATAGACAATGAATGGTCTTGACAGCAGCGCGTAGCCCCCACCGCGTCCTGTCTGAAAGTCCCTTTAGTCTTTTAGTTTTGTGTTCAAAATATGTCTAAAAGAAAAGGCGAGAGTAATTTGAGAATCAACAGATCAGTTTCAAACACTGACATTATAATGTACATCAGGTCGGATACAATGAGCTGTAGTTATTTTTTAAATATCGCCACAGCCCCCAAAACCAACCCAGCCCAACAGCCCCCACAGCCCACAGGCGCAATAGCCAACCCAGCCCCCCCGCCACCGCCCCACCCCAAAGCCCCACCACCGCAAGTCCACGACCAATCTTTGCGAGCACTGAAAGGCTCTTCTCTGCCTCTCTTCTAGCCTTCTCTTCCTGTTCTTCCTCCAGTGCTTTCATTTTCTCTTTTAGTTCTTTTTCCATCTCTTCCTTCGCTTCTTTTAATTCTTTCTCATGTTTTTCTTTTATTTCCCTCTCCAGTTCCTCCTTCAATTTGCACTTTTGCTCTTCTTTCTCTTTCTGGATTCGCTGTTTCTCCTTCTTAGTGTCTTCCTCTGCTTCCTTTAGTTCTTTCTCATGTTTTTCTTTTATTTTCCTCTCCAGTTCCTCCTTCTTTGCACTTTTGCTTTTTTCTTTCAGGATTCGCTGTTTCTCCTTCTCCTCTGCTCTTTAATTCCTTCATGTTTTTCTTTTATTTTCCTTTATTCCTTTTTGCACTCTTTTCATTTTCTTTAGTTCCTTCCTTCTCCGCGTCTTCCTCGCTTCTTTATCCTTTGCTCTTTTTCCACTATTTTCTCTTAGTTCTCCTCTCTCCTCATTTCTCTTCTTTCTCTTTCAGCCCTCTCTGCTCTCCTGAAACATCTCAGTGGTGTAATGGTTTCCTGTGTTCTTTTCTGTTATTTTTCTGATCTTGTTGAGGAGCTCTCTGGTCTGAGAACTATCAGAGATCGTGTTATCAAAGACGTGGTACTGGTTGTTACATTTGGCCACAAGCTCCTGCAGCTCTTTGCTTTTCTTCAAGAACTCCTCGATAGTCCCACTGAGCTGGTCACCATGGGTAAAGAGAACCATGCTGTATTTGTCTGCTGACTTTCCAAAGATTTTGAATCTTCTCCACCGTCTTCTTTTCTTCTTCTGTGAGTCGGCCCAGTTTGATGATAATCAGAAAGATATGGGTCCAGGAGAAGCATAAGCCATACACTGGGAGATATTTTTACGTGTCGTCTCTTCATCTGTATTGGTGTCAAACAGACCTGGAGTGTCGATGACAGAAACCTTCTGTCTATCCAGCTCACCATAAGCCTTAGCACAGTCTGCGGTCACTGATTCAGGGGAGAAAACAGATTCAAAGCACTCGTGTCCCAGGATGGTGTTTCCTGCTGCACTCTTCCCAGCTCCGGTCTTCCCCACCATCACGATCCGGATCTTTTCATTGTTGTACATGGTTGGTTCTGATTGGATGGGAAAAAAAAGAAAGAACAACTTTGATTATCCAAACCTGATCTTATACAATTATCCCGTTATTTTTGTTTTGTTTTTTTGAACAACCAGATTTTAGATTCAAGAAAAACTCATCTGATAACTTTAATCCTGTTGGATTAACTTTGACCAAACGGGCCCAGAGGATATTGTCTAGCTAGCTCTAAATGATTATTTTACTATTTCTACTGAAAAATAGTTAACACTTTTTCTTTAACTTTACAAACTAACTCAACAGAGCATGTAGCAAATTAAAATGCAAAGAAAGCCACTCGGGGTTTGTAGCATCGGTAACACTTTAAATTAAGGTCATAATAATCACCATTAGCCAGTTGCTTATTAGCATGTTCATTAGTAGCATACTGGCTGTCGTCATTGAGAGCTTTATAGTCGAGCCCGACCAATAAATCTGTCAGCCGATCGGTACTAATTTTATCTCTGATATGCTGACATAACTAGGTTTATTCAATTTAAGTTTATAATTTATTTTTAAATCGTTTTTTAATAATTGTTTATTTCCATAAATGCTTTTATTCAACTGTAAACAAAAAAAAAAAACTTGTCTTCGTTATAAATCTTTATGACAAGTGTTTTATAACCGCTCAATGCAATAATGTGTGTACCGTATTTTCCGCACTATAAGGCGCACTTAAAAGCCTTTAATTTTCTCAAAAAACGACAGTGCGCCTTATAATCCGGAGCGCCTTATATATGGATCAATTGGTTAATTGGTTGATCCATACTGGTTGTACACGGCGCTCAGCGACACTGACTCGGATGATGACGAGAGGGAGCCGGGCATGTTGGATGCCGTACTCGCCAACTGTTCAATTCGGACACTGAAGAAGAAGAATTCGAGGGATTCGTGGACGGGGAATGAACTGAAAAAGTGAGCTTTACGTGTTATACGTAACTGAACAATGTTGAGTTATGCACTAACGCAGGGGTGCCCAACCTTTTTTGGGTATTTTAGGGTAGGCAACATTTTAATATTAAGTTTGTATTTATATCACATATGTTTTCCCCTTAATTTAGTTTACAACAAACAACTTTAATCTGTGTGGAGATGTTCACAGACTACAGCAGGCTGCTGTGAGATGATGTTGCTTTTGTTAAATTAGCTGCAGACACGGTGAGAGTGAACGGAGTAAAGTCCAACCGACTGTTTGACCGGGTCACGTGGGTTCCCACCTCGGTCCGTACGGATCACGGATCAACTGTGTGCTGTAGCACTAAAAGTAAAATGGTTCGTGTGTGTGTGTGTGTGTGTGTGTGTGTGTGTGTGTGTGTGTGTGTGTGTGTGTGTGCGCGCGTTTGCGCTGTTTGTTGGTGTGTCTCGTCCCCCTCGAGGAGCAGAGAAAAGTAGCTGCAGCTTCATCAAATGCGCTTAATACTCGTAGCATAGTTTCTATATATATTTTTGGTAAAACATTTACCCCCCCCCCCCCCGGTTTTACCTGCATGTCACTGCTCTCTCTCTCTCTCTCTCTCTCTCTCGCTCGCTCTCTCATGCACGCAGCAATTTCATGAATAAATGAAAAATTAAATACACACAGGTCGGAAGTATACTTGGGCTCCCAACACAGGTATCGTGTGTGGGAAACAGTGCAATGAGATGAAATTGAAATCACTTTTCTATTTTACAATTGTATTTTATATTGACAAAACATCTCGCGATCGACTGAGAATCAGTCAGCGATCTACCTGTCGATCGCGATCGACTGTTTGGGCACCCCTGCACTAACGTTTGAATTAGCGGTATCAGACTGTGTTTCTTTTACGTGTTTACAACTGAACAAGGCTGGGAGATATTGTGAATATGCACATTAACGTTTGAACAACGTTGAGTTATTGTGAATGCACTACGTATAAAACTACGTTTTGAGAGTTAAGAGAAACGTCAAAGAAATAATTTATTATTTGGGGAAATCGTCTTATGTACTTTTGTTTTTGTAGTTTTATACGTATTTATATTTATATATTCACAATATCTCCCAGCCTTGTTCAGTTGTAAACACGTTCTATTCTATGCGCCTTATAATCCGGTGCGCCCTATATATGAAAACAGTTCTAAAATAGGCCATTCATTGAAGGTGCGCCTTATAATCCGGTGCGCCTTATAGTGCGGAAAATACGGTATGTCTATTTCTATCCATAAAGATTGGAGATACATATAAGAAAGATATCGACCAGATATATCGAAATGTTTTCTCCCTAAAAACGATATCGGCATCTGCCCCAAAAATACATTTCAGTCGGGCTCTACTTTATAGTACCTTACTCTATATGACCATAACTCATAGCTACAAGGCCATTAACTAAGAGTTTGCCCTCAGTACCCTCCTAAATACTACTGATTAAGAGAACGTTAAGAAGTTGAATCAGAATCACATTCACCTTTATTGGCCAGGTATGTTTACACACACAAGGAATTTAACTGGTGAACTTTGCTCTCTATGTACAAGTATAACATTAAATATCAACAATAAACACAATAAGCAAAGACTAATATGTACAAGGCTAAATAAGAAACAGTTCAGTTGTGAGTAGTGCAAAAAAGGCTGAAGTGACATGATAATAAAAAATGCAGTTATGTGACAGATGGGTTCATTTACATGAGGTAGAGTTTTACAGTATTTACATGATAAGTGTGCGTAGATCGATAATTTAAATTAAATGATATATATGTATATGTACATTCACAGAGACAGGTCTGACACTCTGTGGCTGTTTAGCATTCATCAGACAGAGTCACAGCCTGGGGGAAGAATCTGTAACGCCTACCGGAGGGGAGGAGTTTGAAAAGTTTGTGTCCGGGGTGTGAGGAGTCTGCTACCTGCCCGTTTCCCAGCCCGGGACCGGATAAGTCCTGGATGGGGGGCAGGTCGACACCAATGATTTTTTTGCAGTCCTGATCATCTGTTGCAGTCTGTATCTGTTCGGTTTGGTTGCAGATCCAAACCAGACAGTGATGGAGGTGCACAGAACAGACTGGATTATGGATGTGTAGAACATGATCAGCAGCTCCTGGGGCAGGTTGAACTTCCTGAGCTTGTACGTGAAATATGACCTCAATATACTTTTTCTCACTTCTACCTTATAAGGGCATACTAAGCAACGCATATCAAGATCAGAATTCCTGTTCAACAACTTCTTAACTTTCTCTCAATAAGCAGTAATTAGGAGGGTATTTGGAAAACCGCTGAAGTTACACCTACACACTAAATTCTGTTATAATTTAAAAGCCAAACATAATTTGTGCCAGTGTATGAAGTCTTGAAAACCCCAACAGATACAAGGTTTAAGCTACTTACTAATAAAGCAGCTTTCTGTGATTACTGGTGTTATGATCATTGTGATAACAGCTGGGTGGAGTGAGGGCTAGTGTACGGATTCACGGATTCCTTTTTTAAATACAGATATTTATTAAATATGAATAATATTGGTATTTAACAATTCAATTTGACACTGACTCTGTGCTATTTGGTTATTGTTGACTGAGGGAACCCATCCAGGGTGGTGTCCGTTGTTATTAATTCAGATTAATAGTTTTGGTAAGTAATATTAATACAAATAATTAATATTAATTTAATAGCGAAGTTGACTACATTAAAACCCAAACATAGTTTGTGCCCACGTATGAGGTCTTCAAAACGCCAACAGATACAAGGTGTATGTTACCTTGTAAATTAAATGTACTGACTTACCTTTACTGACAGCCATATTTGGGTGTTGGAGAGAGTAGCTGGTGTGTTTCTAAGCTAAAGAAGAAAAGTTTTTAGTCTGTCAGTGGAAACACTTCCTTATACCTGCACGGAGCCTCACCCTGTTCACCCCTCCCAGCATCAATAAAATGACTACTTTTCCCCGAAATGGATGAAGTCCAAGCGAAACCAAACTGCCTTTATAGCCTGACCTAACTGGGTCATAACCCAAAGTTCAGACTGAGTTATGTTTCTCTTTTTTCATTATTTTACTTCTTTCATGTTTTTTTGAGTTGCTGACTTCTCTCTCTATTCAGCGAGTAACTTAGTGTGTCTTTCACATGTTTCACAGTGCTCTCCAACCCAAGCAGCAACTTCTGTTGTTGACAAATGAAGCCGATGTGCCAGTGCAAAGTCCCGCAGTTCGAGGGTCCTGTTGAGGCATGCAAACTGTCAAACTGTCATTTATTTGTATAGTGTAATACAATTGTAGAATTGCGTAAATGTTGTATTTCAGTGTACAGTAAGAACTTTTCGTGTTCTATGTGATGTTCCACTCTTGATTATGGGAGGCTTTTATTGTGGTAGTGTAGCAGGGTTAAAATGCACTTTATTTTTGAGTACAGTTTACAATTTATACTTGAGATTTCATTTATAATTTATTTCTGTAAGTATTTGTGAATTTTATCTTAACGAGTTATGTATATTTACTGTTATTTTATCAAATGTATGTTTCCTTTGAGAATTACCTTTTTGGCACTTTGCGGCTTCTGTACCTCCTGGGTTACCGTAGCTCCTTCCATCTGTCCCTCACAGTGCCGTTTTGCATTGCTGAGGGTAAGTTGTATGTAAAAACGTTGCTGCATCATTACCTTATTTACTGTGGAAAATAAGTGATTTAAGTTGTAATGTTCAGTTTATTTTATAAACTGATAGTAATACGATGTTAATCAGTCATTGTGTTTAGGTTTTGAGAGTTTTATATCTCTTTGGAGACTGTTTTAATGTAGCGGTTTTGGCGCAAATTGTGTAATATCCTACAGCGCCTGTGTCACGTGATTGACGTGCCGCAGATATTCTCAGTTGAAATAATATTTATTTTGCATGTATAGGAGCAGAGGTGCAGAAAACAAATGTCCAGAAGGCACATTGAATGTTCTTTTGTCTTCTGCAGAAAATAAAAGCTGGAAACAGTCAGAGTCTGGTTTTCTTCACTCCCCTGACCACATCCATTACAGTAGCAAACATCAGTCTGCACCGCCCGTCAGTTATCATATGTTTAGGCGTTGGTGCTCAACTTTATTCACCCCAAACAAAGTCCAGAATTAAAAATGAGAATCATTAACCGTAACATGACGGAGTTTGCCATGAGTCAACTTTTAGTGCACCACTATCTGAAACACTATGTTAGAGGAACGCACGTAGGCACAACAGGTGATAAGACCATAGGATAAAACACAACGCCTTACAGAGCAACACAACATAAATCACCTTTAAACTGGACCGTTTGAGGACACTCTTCCTGTT